ACCCCGTCTCCCTCCGGAGGACAAAAACAAGCTCAGGCGCATTAGACGTGCTGGAAACCCCAGCCTCTCCCAGTTCAGCCCCTCCTTCCCAGCCACAGTCTCCGGCCAGCCTTGCCCTCTGCCTGGGAGGAAGCAGGCTGAGGAAGAGCCTCTGGAAGCCGCTTGGTCTCAGAGGGCAGGGAGGAGAGTGAGAAGGGAGGGAAGAGGCTGTGAGCCTGGGACCCACCTCCTGGAGTGGGGCAGGGGCAGCCTGAGGGGTGCAGGCCTGGCTGGTCTACAGCTGCCAAGACTGGGAGTGAGCTGCTCGGTGGCTTGTGGGAGCCCAGAGCCGGTTCCCACAGAAACAAAGCTGAAGTGGAGGCTGGCGCCCTGCCTGGCCCAACAGAGCCAGATTCAGCTAAACGCGGCATCCGGGAGCCCTTTCACACCATGCAAGCTCGTACACACACACACACACACACACACACACACACACACACATCATTGTCCCCACTGTCATCATTGTCTGTGTCTGGGGCTCAGGGGGAGCTTCTGAAACCCATAAATCCTCAGGCAGCTCTGCCAAGGGTTCTGGAGCCGTGGGAACTGGGACCCTGCCGAAGGCAGCCTTCCACGGGCAGCAGAGCAGGGCAGGTGTGTGTGTGTGTGTGTGTGTGTGTGTGTGTGTGTGTGTGTGTGTGTCTGCAAATGTGTATAAGGGGGCTTCCAAAAGTACACGGGAAAAGCACATTCTCTTTATTTTATTTATTTATTTTTTTAATACTTTTATTGGGGGCTCTGACATCTCATCACAATCCATACACTCATCCAGTGTGTCAAGCACATTTGCAATATGCCGCCATCATCATTTGAAAGTGTTCTCTTCCACTTGAGCGCCTGATATCAGCTCCCCATTTCTTCCCCCTCCCTCCCCTGCCCGCCCTCCCTAAGAACCCTTGATAAGTTATAGATTATTTTTTCCATATCTTACATTGTCCTCCATCGCTCCTTACTCCTCACCCGCTTTTCCATTATTCGTCCCCCTGGGAGGGGGTCCTGGATTGATCCTTGCGGTCTCGATTCCCCCTTTCTCCCCCCACCCTCCCCTAATCCTCCTGGTATCTCTACTCTCATTATTGGTATTATTTTTAATCATTTTGTTGGGGGCTCTTACAGCTCTTATCACAATCCATACATCAATTGTATCTGTCACATTTGTGCATTTGTTTGCCATCATTTTCAAAGCATTTTCTTTCTACTTGAGCCCTTGGTATCAACTCCTCTTTTTCTCCCCACCATCTCCACCCTTATGAACTCTTGGTAACTTATAAATTATTATTTTCATATCTTAAACTGTCTGCTGTCTCCCCTCATCCATGTTTCGCTTATTCATCCCTGGGGGGATTTGTTAATATGTCAATCACTGCAATCAGTTCCCCCTTTCTCCCCCTCTCCCCCACTTTCCCCTTCTCCTCCTGGTATTGCTACTCCCATTACTGCTCCCGAGGGGCTTCTCTCCCCTGGACTCTGTGTGTGCAGAGAAGTCTATGCTCTCTTCATTTTGCTTCCCAATCAACTCTTTGGAACTCCCTGGTCTGTGTGAGAGAGCGTGTGTGTGTGTGTGTGTGTGTGTGTGTGTGTACCTGTGGGCGTGAGCATGCGAGTGGATGTGTAAATGTGTGTACAGATGTGTGAGGATGTACAGGTGGAGGTGTGTTGTGAGTGGTAAAGGTTCATGTCTGTGTGCTCTAAGGGCAGGACACACTGTGGGTCACACAGGTCTCTGGGCAGCTGCCTAACACATGGGCCTCCGTTTCTCCATCCGTAAAATGGAAGTGGTAGGAGGCGGTTTGGACGAGAGCCACTGTTTCTATTTTGCTCTTTCACAGCTTCTGCCCCCTGCTCCCCTCCCCTTCCTGCACCCCCCACCCTCCAAACAATCTTGCACAAAACAGATCGGGTCTGTGAGTCCTGAGGAGCTAGCCCCGCTTGGCACCTGCCTGCTCAGTTTACCTCCACGGAACCGGGTCTTCTCAGTGCTTTGTGTGCATCACTGGGTTGTGTACACCACACACACACACACCAGCTCCATCGAAGAGTTGAGCAGAGGTCGTTGCAGCCAGGGCCCAGGGGGTCAGCAGGCCAAGGGCCTGTGCGCCCTGCGCCCACAGCCAGAGTCGCGGTGTCCCCACCCTCAGAGCCTCTGCAGGGGCCACTCCTCGCCTTGCCAGTGGCAGGGCTGGCCGGCTGTGCCGTGGACGTGATGAGTCAGGCCGATTCCAGGAAGGAGGCGGCTCTGTGCAGGCCCTGTCCGCTCAGCCTCCATTCCAGACACAGACTGCGCTTTCAGTGAGGTCAGGGGCCGGTGCTCCTGGCATGAGCGGTGCCCGGAGGATGGAGGGGAGACGGGGGCAGACGGGGCACGCCTGGGGGCAGGGGGGGCTCTGTGAAAGATGGAGGCCAGCAGCAGATGGCCAGGGGTTCTCTGAGGCCCCCACCCCAGGTCCCTGCTGGGATGGCGACAGGAGCAGCCCCCTGCCCCTGTCCCCTGGCAGGCAGCAGAGTGAGCTGGCCTGCAGTGGCCACCAAGGGAATCGTGTGAACACAAAGCTGGGGAGCAAGGAGGCCCCACCCGGAAAAATAACATCCTGGCAGGAGCCAGTGCGGGCTATTTTTAGCTGCAGGGCTGCAGGGGCAGGACTTGTATGGCCTTGCTGTCTGTGACACAGTTTCCCATTGTCCCCCTGCCCCTGTCCCTGGGGAGGCTGTCTGCTCTGCCCTTTGGGCCAGGCCCTCTCTGCATGGCACCTGAGTTGCAGAGGGCCCAGCAAGGGGGAACTGGGCAGGCCATGGCGTCACTGTGTGACCAGGGAGCAAGGCTGCCCTGGCCAGAGGCAGAGCCTCGGACCAGCAGTGGACACTGGGTTTTCCCTAGGAGCCTAGTGGGGCCCTGCTGGGTACAGGTCTCAGTGCCTGCCATGCCCAGCCTCCCACACAGCTCACTGCTCCCCCCACAGATGGTGCAGAGGGGCAGGCCAAGCCTCTAGGTGCCTCTTCCAGGGTACTCTGGACCCCAGTCCCATCCTGGGTGGTCTCAGCCATGTTCCTCCGCAGACTGAGAAGGGGTGTGTGTACCTCAGTGTGTGGGAGTGTGTGTGTGTGTTGCATAGGTAGGGATGTGACGGTGAATGGACCTGTGAGCATGGGTGTGAGTTCATAGGTGTGTGACTGTATATGTGGGTTGTTAGTATATGTGAATGTGCAAGTGTGTCAGTGAGCATGAGTGTGTGAGTCAGAATATGAGTGTGAGTGAATGAGTCTGAGCGCCAGTGAATTAGTGTGACTGTATGTGTATGTGTCACTGTGTGAATGTATGTGTAGGAGTGTGTGAATGTGAGTTAATGTATGAGTGTGTGAGTATATGTGTGTGAATGTTTGAGTGTGTGAGTGTAGTGAATGTGTGAATGTTTGAGCGTGTGAATGTATGTGTAGGAGTACATGAGTGTATGTGTGTGAATATGGGTGTAGGTATGTGTGTGTGAGTACGAGTGTGAATGTGTGAGTGTATTATGTGAATGAGTGTGTATGCGTGAGCACGAGTGTGAATGTGTGTGAGTACGAGTGTGAATATGAGTGTATGTGTGTGAGTATGGGTGTGAATGTGTGAGTTGTATGTGTGAGTGTGTATGTGTGAGCACGAGTGTGAATGTGTGAGTGTATGAGTATGTGTGAATGTGTGAGTATGAGTGTGGGTGTAGATGTGTGAATATGTGTATGAGTGTGTATGCGTGAGTGTGTGAATGAGTGTGTGTGAGCATGAATGTGAATGTGTGAGTGTATTTATGAGTATGTATGTGTGTGAATGTGTGAGTGTATGAGTGTGTGACTAGGAGTGAGAACACACTGCTCACAGCCGCGAAGCCGATGCTGACGCACAGTGACCCTGTTGGGCAGGGTGGAGCTGCCCATGGGCTTCTGAGATGGTCACTCTTTACAGGAGTAGAAAGTCCCGTCTTTCTCCTGAGGAGCGGCTGGTGGTTCCGAACTGTTGGTCCTGCTGTTCACTGCCCAGCTTGTAAACACCTCCACCATGGCTCCTTGTACGTGCACTAGTATGATTATGTGAGTGTGTATCAATGAGTGTGTGTGTGTATTGCTGTGAGAATTTGTTAGGGTGTGTGTCTATGAATGTGTATGTGTGTGAGTGTATGGGTATGTGAGTGTATTCATGCGTGTGAGCTTATGTGAATGAGTATATGACTGTATTTGTGTATGTGTCTGAGTGTGTGAGCTTATGTGACTATGTGTGAATGAGTGTATTAGCATGTACATATATGTGAATGTGTATGGGTGTATGTGAGCATAGGTGGATGTGTCTATGCGTATATTAGCGTGCATGAGCATGTGTGTGAGTGTAGATGAATGTCTGAGTGTGTGTGGGTCTATGTGAGTGTATGAACATGTGTGTGCTAATGTGAGTATATGTGAATGTGTCTATGTATTAGTGTAAGTATATGGGAATGCGTGTGTGAGTATTGTGAGTATATGTGACGGTTTCTGCATGAGTGTCTGAGTATATGCGTGCATTAGTGTGTGGGGATGAATGTGCATGGGTACCTGAGTGTGTGTGTGGGAGAGTCTGAGTGTGTGCGTGTGTCAGGGTGAAAAGCAGGGGCTCTGGCTCTCCACCCCTCCCGGGAGCCCTGCCCTGCATGGAGGGAGAGGGGCACAGACCGCCAGAGAACAGGCCCAGCGGCCCGGAGGGAAAGGGCTGCTGGGAGACCAGGCCATGCGAAGCAAACACAGCACTCAGGACGCCACTGCAGGATGGATAGCCACCTCAGCTGCCCCTGCAGAACGAGGGGCGGACGCATTGCAGCCCCCCACCCCAGCAGCACGCAGGCACTGGGCCGGGGCTCTCGCTGCAGCAGGGATCTGGCTGTCCATGAGGCCAGCCCTCCAGAGACAGGGCCCTGGGCTCCTCAGGGCGCAGAGAGAAGGATCAAGAAGGGACTCGGGCGGTCAGTCAAACACGTTTATTGAGCGCCCTCTACACTGCGGGTTGGGGGAGCCCAGGCCTGTCCCCGTTGTGGCCCTCTCCCCCAGGGCCCTGAGGAGCCTCTTCCTGAGATGTGGAAGGCCAGATGCACACAGGTGGGGGCCTCTAGAGGCAAGAAGGCTGGGGGTGGTGACTGGACCCAGAGGAGGAAGCTTCTGGCGCTGGGAGGAGGCCCTGCATCACCGTCTCTTCAGCACGGATATGCAGGACTTCTTGAGGGGCCCGATCTGTAGATGGGCGTCCACACTCTCCAGGAAGAAGGCGGGCTTGAGCCTGTGGGCGAACAGCCCAGCGAAGTGGCTGTCCAGGCGGCTCTGGAAAGGGTCAGTGGGCGAGGCAGGGGCACCGCTGCGGCGGGGTCTGGAGGCCTTTAGCCTCCGCAGGAGGCTCATCTTGCCGTCGCGCACGGCGTAGAACGCCAGTGCTCGGTCGGCGTATTCCAGGCAGATGCCCACGGTGGGCGAGAAGGGCTGCGGTAGGGGGGCCTCCAGCCCGTGGAACCAGACGGAGAAGTGGCGGCCGTTCCACTGCAGGCAGCAGGAGGAGGGGTTGCGGCCCAGCCGGCCCCGGTCGTAGGGCTCTTTGGTGGAGAAGTCTTCGGCCATGACCCCCACGCTGACCCAGCCCTCGATGATCTCCACCTCCCAGTAGTAGGTGCCCCGGTCCAGGGCGCCCTCGCCCAGCACCTGCTCACAGTGGGTGAAGCGGGTGGGCGACTCGGGGTAGTTGATGGGGCAGAGCACTCTCTTCACCCCTTTGGTCCCAAACAGCTGGAGGAATTTATCCGCTGTGTCACTGTCCAGGTCCACGATGTAGGCAACTGACCCCAGGGGGCAGGAGAGAGAAGCGGGACTCAGACTCGGGCTCAGAGGTGACATCTGTCAGACCCCCTCTGCTCAAACCCATGGACACGCAACTATTCCCACTCATCGGGACCCTCTAGGACAGCAGGACTTTTCCCTCCGGGTTGCTTCCAAGGCTGCTGTCTACCTGTGACGGGAGCAGATGGCCACAGCTTCCTCCGCAGGGGGTGGCGGGCTCAAACCGCCGAACTGTGCGCTTGCGGCCGAGCGCTTTCACAGCTGCACCCCCGGGCGCGCGATTCTTCTAAACTCAGACCTATTTCCTCCTCCGCAATAAGCATCACTCAGCCCCCCACTGGAGACCACTCCCGGGAGTGAGGCCAAGCTTGCCCCCATGTGCCCCGGGGCCTTGGACAGCCTGGATTCCACTTACATTTGAGGAAATAATCTCGGGGAGCCTCATTCTCGGGGTGGCCGGTGCTGTCGGGGTCCTGGAGATCAGCCTCAGCTGCAGAAGGGAGACAAAGAGGTGTGTCTTCTAGGCTGGCTGGACGACTAAATAGGATCTGCCCTTACACCTGTGACTTAAACCCTCCCCTCTGACCCCTCTCAGAATCTTGAGCCACAGGGGGCAGATACCAAACTGTACATAGTAAACTGGTATATTCCATATGCATCCCCAGAGCCCCCTTGGGAGAAGCCTCCCCGGCCCTTAGACCATGGTGACGGGGTTGACACATCATCATGGGAGGTGGCTGTGGGCACTGGCAGTGTTGGGGCCCCACCCCATGCCAGGCACACAGTTTCCATCCTGGCCCAGGAGCCTGGGTGGGGAGCCAGTCACCTCGGCGAGGGGCAACACCCACCTTCAGCCCCGAGCTTCTGCAGGCCGCCCTCGTCACTCTCCAGCCCCCGCAGCTGCTCCCACTGGCTGGTGCAGGCGGTGGCCAGCAGCTCCTTCACTGCCCGGACGGCCTGGGACGACTTGGTGAAGCTGAGCTCTTTTGGGGGGCCTGGCCCAGGGCTGCACCCCTCCTCCAGCGCCAACCGCAGTGCCAGGAGCTCCTGAAGCAGACACATGCCAGCTGAGGCTCTATGGCCACGCTGCTCTGCCCAGCCCCGGGAGGGGAGGACAGCTTGCTGCCCTTCCCGCCTCTCACCTGCAGATAGCTGACCGAGTCGGCCTCAGGGACCTGGCTGAGGTTGTGGCGAGCTTTGCTCAGCCGGCTTCGCTGTCCCTCCTGCCGACGCAGGTCGTCCTGGGAGCGGCCCAGCATCACGGCCTCCCCTTCATCAATGAAGCCCAACACCTCAGCCTGGAACCTCTGCAGGGTGGCCACAGCCTCTGCGCACAGCCGGCTCACCCTCTCCCGCTCTGCCACAGCCGCGCTCTGCACAGGACAGCATGGGGGAGGGGGGGGGGCAGGGCTGAAGGCCTGGGCTCTGTCCTTCCCAGTTGCCCAGCCTGCCCAGTCCTCCTTGCAACTCCATTCCAGCTCTGTGCCAGGACAGGGAGACTTCCTGCCTGGTGGGGTTGGACTCTCCCTGCTGAGACCCTGCCACAGGAGTAGGGGAGGGGGCTCTGACCTTGATGAGGGCTACGGTGCGCCGGGACTGGGCAATGCCAGCACCCAGCTCATCCATGCAGTCCTCCACCGCACTCAGGACCTTGGGCTGCTCGGCCTGTGGATGACACGTGTGTGCGTGAGGGCAGGGCCTGGTAGAGCCCTGTAGGCCCTGCCAGAGGGGAGGAGAGAGGTGACGGGGTGGGCTTTGGGTATGATGGGACTGGGAGCGTCCACACAGCTCTGTGATGCCGGGGCTGCTGCAGGCAGACGAGTTGGGGTGACCTGCAGCCCATTTTGGTGACACTCCCAGATGCCCTCTGGGACAGGGGGCGGGCATGGGGGGAGGGGGCTTTGGAGGTGATCCCCATGGATTGCCTGGCTCTCTCCCGGAGCAGTGGGCAAGGGCAGTACAGGCCCCAGGTGGGCTCCCACAGATGGAAGCAAAAAGTTCACTTGAGGCAGAGGGTGAGAGAGGGCAGGAGAGAGAGTACACCAGAGCCCACGCCCCTGTCCTGAGGCTCCCTGTTCCCTGAGCGTCCGGGTCCACCATCTAGACCTGAAAAAAGGGATTCTGGGCGACTCCCTTGGGTCTTGAGTCACGGCTCCAGGCAGGAGAGACGGAAAATCCCAAAGCCAGAGGCGCCAAGCCCCGGCTGGCCGCCAAAGGAAACTGGGGGCGGAGGTAGCAGGCTGGCTGCGCACATGCTCTCAGCTGGGCCTCGGGAACCACCGCCGGACAGAGGCCATCTGTGTGCCCAGGCGCCGGCCAGGCCCTTCGCGGTCACACCCATCCCAAACCCCCACCCCTGCCTCCCTCCCACTACCCCCGCAGCAAATCAGCTGGGACCGAAGCCGGTGGCATCCCAGCACGGCCAGATCCAGCCTCTGGGATTCCCGGACAGCCCGGCTCAGGTCCCCTGCACGCCCTGCGAGTTCCCTGGGTCCCTCCCTGTTCCCATCTCCACCGCCGGCAGCGGAGGGCCCAACAACGTTGAAAGGGCATACAACGGAGCCCAGCAGGGGAAGGGCAGGGCGTCCCAGCGCCGCCCCCCGCCCCCAGCCGCCCTTCTCCCCGCCACCCCCGCGGGGTCGCCCACCTCCTGGAGCGCGCGCTCCTGCTCCAGCGGCACGAGCTCGTGGCCGCGGTGCTCCTGGGCGGCGCAGGCCTGGCACAGGCACACGCGCTCGGCGCGGCAGTAGTGCTCCAGCGGCCGCAGGTGACGCGGGCACAGGCTCTCCTCCAGCCGGCGCAGCGGCGGCACCAGGCGGTGTCCGCGCAGCGCGGGGCTGCGCTCGTGCGGGCCCAGGTGCGCGGGGCAGAAGGAGGCGAGGCAGGAGAGGCAGGAGAGCGCGGCCGGCAGGGCGGCGCCCTCGGGGCAGGCGTCGCAGGGCACGGGCTCCGGGGCGGCGGGCCATGGCTCCGGAGCGCACGGGGCCGAGGGCTCCGGCGTATTGGGCGCCGAGGGCTCAGGGCCCGGACCCTTGCTGGGCCCCGAGCCCTGGCGGAGCTGCAGCAGCTCCGACAGCGTGTGGTTCTTGCGAAGCTGCAGGCCGTCGGGGAAGGGCTCCTGGCACAGCGGGCAGCGCGCCGTGCCCCCGGACCCGCCTGTGCCCCCGGCGCCGCGGTGCGGCCAGAGCGCGCCCAGACAGGCCAGGCAGAAGTTGTGTCCGCAGGGCAGTGTCACCGGCTCTCGGAGCGGCTCCAGGCAGATGGGGCAGCTGAAGGGCCCGCTGCCGTCCATGACTCCGAGGCCCCCGGGGGCACCGCCTGTTCTGCTCCCGCCTGGGAGGGACCCGGCGCGTCCGCCCCCGGCGCCGCCCCCAAGGGCCGGGTCCCAGCGCCTGGCTCGGACACCCCGCCCAGCGCCGCCCGCGCGGCTGGCCCCCGTAGGGCAGGCCCCTGGTTCCGCGGGGCTGCGAGGAGCCCTCTGTCCTGGGTGCAGCCGGAAGGCATGTGAGTGAGGTGGGCGGGAGGCAGGGAATGCGAGGGGGACACCCTGGAAGGATCTGGAAGCTCACTCTCCTCCCCACCCACCCCCAACCCCCCTCCGGATTTCGCGCCTGGCTCGCGCTCTCCGGAGGCGCTGGGCGGGCCTCCGGCCCCAAACCCCTCCCCAGCTGGCCCGTTAGCACAATTTCGGAGCCGCTGTCTGCGGAGAGCTGGGCGTGTGTTTGTGCTTCTTAGCGACTCTGTTTAGCCCTGGTACAGAACTCGGAGCTTTTCCAGACCTAAAACTAGACGTTGGCATCACCCAGGGTGAGAAATTCAGTTCCGGTCTCCGGAACTTGTCTTTTTTTATTTTCCCCTCCAGGGCACCTGCAGATGTCTGCAGCCTGCGGCTCCCCAAGGGCTGTCATTTGCCACCTTGCATCCCGCAGTGACCTTGAAGCAGTGCATTGTATTGAAATCTTGCCTCAACAACGCGGATTTTGAGAGAGAGAATGTGTGTGTGTGTGCAGTTTAGTAACACACATTGCTTTGGATTACAACCCAAAGTGTAAAATAAGTACTCATTGGGGGTGGGGTGGGGTGCATATTCTCAAACACTGCCCTGGAGTCCCTGCTGACTCATAGCGACCCCTCTGTGGGTTTCCACCACTGGAACGAACCTTGCCGGCATAGAAAGCCTAGTCTTTCCCCCGGGAGCTGCTGGTGGTTTTGGACTGCCCAACTTGAGGATCGCATCCCAATGCCCACCCACTGCACCACCAGGGCACCTATAGGGCCATACTAGGGTAGACACATTATGAATGAATAAATAAATATCCAGGGGAGTACGGACACATGTCCAGTTCAGAAGAATTCCAGCTCATTCTTGTAGCGCCTCCTGCAGTGGGACACTGCGCCCCTCTCTTCTAAGGGTGGGCCGCCATTGTGCCTTCCTTCCAAATAGCCCAGTGGAATTGGGAAGAGGAGTGACTGGATAGGAGGGAGCAGCCTGGCAGGTTACCTCAGCCAGGTACACAAGACCAACAGGCACCCTGATGTCATGTGGATGGTATGCACCCTGGGTGTGAGGTCATGAGAATGGCATCCAAGAAGTGTCTGCAGGGGAAGCATGGGGGTGGGGGTGGAACACACCAAGAACCTACAGACAGATGCCAGTTCAGGGACAGACTGCAAGCTATCTGTCCTAGTCCCCCAAAACAACCCCACTGCCATCAACTCGGGTCTGAGTCCTATCGGCCGACAGGACAAAGTTGAGCTGCGCATTTACAGGTGGTACATCTCACTGGTGAGTTAGAACAGCCAATTTGGGGTGAGCAGCCAGGTGCTTAATCCATGGCCTCACCAGGGCTCCTAGCCCAGAGGACCTCAAGACTTTCAAGGTCACCAAACAAGGAAAGTCTGAGAGCCCATCACAGCCCACTGCGGGCTAAGGGCACGGGCCAAGAATGTGGTGCCCAGAGTGGGGTATGGCAATAGAAAAGATGAATGAATGAAGAATGGTCAATACTGGTTCTTTCACTGTAAAATTCTGTACACATTTTTTGTGTGACTGTGTTTTCTTTTTTTAAATTAATTTGAACAGTTTTATTGACAGAATTCACATAGAATTCAATTGTTTAAGCATATTCCAGAGTTGTGCAATCACCACAATTTTAGAACATTTTCTTCACTCTTTTTTTAAAAATTATTTTATTGGGGGCTCGTACAATTCTCATCACAATCCATACATACATC